TACTTAAATTGGAATATTTCCTTTTGCCTGTAATTATTTTTTTTGTTGATTGTTCAGCCTGTTCAAATCTGTTCAACCCTTTTAGTAAATTTTTCATTTTCGTTATTGTACGTTTTGGTTCTAAAATTTCTTTTTATTTCCTTTTTATAATTTGTTTCATTGATATTCCCTGTTTGTTGCACATATTGTTCTCTTGGTTTCCTTGAGTTGTCTTTACATATGTAGGATCTGTTGATTTAACATCTTTGTCTAGTAATTCCACTCTCTGTGTTTCCTTGAGGACAGTTTCTGTTAATTTCTTTCTATCTTGCATGATTAGTGTTTTTGGTGGTGGTGGTTGTTGAATACAGGACATTTTGAATTCAATGTTCAAAAAGTAAATAAAATACATATTATCTCCAGGCTTTTTTATTTTGACTTTGTGTTGAGGTACTACTTCAGCACTTTGCAGGGCCTTTCACAACTTTGTCTTAGTCTTTACTCCCTGCTAGGCTTTAGCCTAAAGGTCAGCCAGGGGTGAAAGCTGTTGTCTTCTCAGGTCCTTTCTGAGGATGAATCCTACCTTCAACATTCATGTGGTTTTCTAGATTCTTGGTATACAGAGACTCTTTTCAATAACTTATTCTCTAAAGATTCTTACTCTGTACCTTTTTCTTCTTTGGCTTTTGGCATGTCTGTTGTTTGTATTAACTATTATTTTGCCTCAGGCAACAGTTGATTGTTCTTTTAACTTTCAAAGTCTTTAAGAAGGGACCTCTACATAGTTATGTCTTTACTCCAAGGAAGTAATGAGTTAAGTGTAAAATAGTCATTCTCCTTTCATTAGTCCTCAAGGACCCCATAGAGAGATCAATACAAATGCAATTCAATTGGGAACAAGATCCACTTTGCTGTGGTTAAGAAAAGGTTCCCTCACTGAGAAAATGGGATGCCATCTTCAATACCATCCCTTTGTGCTGGTGGAGAGTGTGGTTAGTATAAACTAAAGCATAGCAAAACTTTCCTCCCTTGCTTAGTGGCCCTACTCCTGGTTAAATGTTTTACTATCTTCCCATATTCCTGTGTGAGTCTGACAATGGTTTTTAGTGTTTATGAGCAGGGATGGCGCCAGCAGTCTCTATTTTGCCTTTTTTGCAACACGCTTTTACTCAAAAGCACATCCTGGCTCACTTTTATGGGATATAGTGTAAAAGTGCTATCTTTATTTACCTCTCCTGGACACTGTCCTGCAGCCCATCTGAATTCTGAGTGGCATTCTATACCATAGTTCACTTCTTGGTATTTTTTTGCTTTATTTTTCTGATCAGATTTTTTTTTTGTGGCGCATTTGGGTGATGATCTTCGGACTTCATATACAAATGTAAAAGATGTCTTTCTCTAGGTTCCTTCTCTCTGATTCTCTGCACTCTCTAATTCTGTGTATTTAGGATCACATAGTGTAGGATGTGAAATGAAGCATCCTACTATATTTGCAGGAGCTCTTTGTCAATTTTGCTTGGTGTCATGGCTAGGGCTAATTCACAAAGTTTCTTCCCACAGACTCCCCAGCAACAGCATGCTATCAGGAAATGAAGGTGCTGCATTTTTCCTGAATTAGCTTAATGCCAGTGTTGCCAATTTCCCAGCTGGGAGAAAGAGAGCCCCTCTTTGTCATTGGAGTTCTGTTCTACATGGACCCCTCTTCTCATCTTTTGTTTTTCTTTTAACTGCATCAAAATATTATTACTGAGTTTTTGGAAACCTTTGCTATTAAGCAATAATTCAAAAAAGAAACTTATAAACATTACATTTAGAGGATTAAATCAATTGAATTTTAACATTGAGTTTTTTTTAATTGGATATAGTTGACATATAACATTGTGTATTAGTTTCAGGTGTGCATCATAATGATTCAGTATTTGTATATATTGCAAAATGATCACCACAATAAGTATAGTTAACATTCATCATCACACATAATTTCAGTTTTTCTTCTGATGAGAACTTTTAACATACACTAGCAACTTTCAAACATGCAATTAGTATTATTAACTACAGGTACTATTCTGTATATTATATCTCCATGACTTATTTTATAACTGGATGTTTGTATCTTTTGATCACCTTTTACCCATTTCCTCTATTTCCTACCCTATCCCTGCCTCTTGGCAATCACCAATGTCTGTGAGTTTGATTTCTACTCTTTGTGTGTGTATGTGTTTTAAGGTTTTACATATAAGTGAGATTATATGGTGTTTGTCTTTCTCTGTCTGACTTATTTCATGATGCGCTAGTGTCCATTCATTTTATTGCAAATGGCAGGATATCCTTCTTTTTCATGGTTGAATAATATTGTATTGTGCATGTGTGTGCATGCCTGCCATACTTTTGTTATCCATTCACTCATTAATAGACACCTACATTGTTTCCATGTCTTTGCTGTAGTAAATAATGCTGCAGTGAGTATGGGGTTACATATATCTTTTCAAGTTAGTGTTTTTGTTTCTTTCAGATAAATACCCAGATGTGGAATCAGTGGATCATATGATCATTGTAATTGTAATTTTTTGAGAAAATGTCACACAGTTTTCATATGACCGTACCAATTTACATTCCCAAGAGTGCACCATGTTTCCCCTTTCTCTACATTCTCATTGACACTTGTTATTTCTTATCTCTTTAATAATAGCCATTCTGACAGGTGTGAGGTAATAATTTTATTGTGGTTTTGGTTTGCATTTCCCTCATGGTTAGTGATGTTGAGCACCTTTTTATGTACCTGTGGTCTATCTGTATGTCATCTTTGGAAAAATGTTTATTTAGGTCCTCTGCCCATTTTTTTTTAAAGATCTTATTTATTTATTTTTAGAGAGGGAAGGGAGGGAGAGAGAGAGAAACATCAATGTGCAGTTGCTGGGGGTCATGGCCTGCAACCCAGGCATGTACCCTAACTGGGAATTGAACTTGCGATACTTTGGTTTGCAGCCCGCGCTCAGTCCACTGAGCTGTGCCAGCCAGGGCTCCTCTGCCCATTTTTTAATCAAATTGTTTGTTTGTTTGTTTGTTTTTTTGCTATTGTATGGTATGAGTCTTTTATGTATTTTGGATATTAACCCTGTCAGATACATACTTTCAGATATTTTCTTCCCTTTGGTAGGTTGCCTTCTTATTCTGTTGATGGTTTTGTTTACTCTGCAGAAAGTTTTTAGTTTGATGTAGTCCCTTGTTTATTTTGTTTTTGTTGCTTTAACTTTTTGTGTCAAATCAAAAAAATCATTACCAAGGCCAATGTCCTCTCTCTTCTCATCTTACCTGACCTCTGCTGGCTAGAAAGTAGCAATGTTTCCCTGGACCTTTTATGTTACTTTTTAACTCTACCCTATAGTCATTCTAGGTTGCCTCTCCTCTTGTGTTTATTTGGTATATACAGGAGGTGAAAAAACCCAAGGAACTGAATACCCGATCATTTCTTAATTCCTGAAGTTCTACCCATTCTGCTTTCTTTTCTTCACAGTTCAGAGTCTGTCAGTACTTGCTTTACTTATTTTGTCAATGGTTCTAAATTGTAATTAATGGGAGTCTTTGGGAGGAATGACTTTTAAATCCATCATGTCTAGAATGGGAACTTTATTCCCATATTTATTGAATGAATGATTAAATGAATACACATATCTTGCCTAAAAGTTGCTTGTGTTTATGGGTATCAATATAACAATAGAAATAGTATTAAGAAAATTAAATTCCTGTAGAAGCTCATAGGCATAGGAATAAAATTATTTTTAGTGATTTCTGGAATAGGACATGTGGTGTGGTAGTGAGGTCATTGTTCATTCATTAATTTTCTGACACCAACTGGGTGTCCTTTAATTTGATTCAATCCTGACACTACTCAGATTTAGCATAGACCCACAGGGTAAGGGCAAAATCCTCCACAAGACTGCTCTATGTCATATGCCACCTCCATGTCTGAACTACTTAGCAATAATATGAGTGTTCACACAATCCCCTCAAATTTGATAATTTGCTAAACTCAAGAGAACTCACTGAAAATGCTATGCTGAAAATTGTCGTTTTATTATAAAAGTTACAATGTAGAAATAGCCACATGGAAGCAATGAATAGACTGTGGTCTGGGGCATGGTGAGGACAGGGTCATGAAGAGGAACATAGAGCTTTTGCCCTTTCTTGCAAAATCCATGTACATTACCCTCCTATCACATCGATGCATTCACCAACTGGGAAGCTACACTAAGCTTTGTTGTCCAGATTTTTTATTGTTGTTTCCTTAACATGGCTATCATTGATTAAATAATTGTTCGTGTGATTGAGTTTTTTCCACCCGTCCCTGTCCTTTGTGGAGGTCTGGTTGGGTCAAAGTAACAATCTCCTTAATCAAGTGATTGGTCTTTCTGGTGACTTGTCCCTATTCCAAACTATCTAGGGATCACCTTGAGTCACTATTAAGATAACAAAGGCACTCTTGTCACTCAGGATTTTTAAGGCTTTTTGAGACTCTGTGCCAACAACTGGGGATAAAGACAAGCTATATATTCTTTTTTTAAAAGATTTTATTTATTTATTTTTCAAGAGGGGAAGGGAGGGAGAAAGAGAAGAAGAGAAATATCAATGTGTGGTTGCCTTTCGTGTGCCCTAGACTGGGAATCAAACCAGCAACCCTCTGGGTCCCAGGCCAGCGCTCAATCCACTGAGCCACACCAGCCAGGGCAAGATATATATTCTTTATTATACCACAGTTATAAAATAAAATTTCAAGGACAATATGGTGCCTTCAAAAATGGGTAGGATTTAAACATTTGGAGATGGGGACAAGGGCATTCCAGGCTGAGAAAGTAGTATTAGCAAACACACGGGCACATACTCAAAAGTGCAGAGTTTAGTATGTAGAAATGTATCAAATATTTTTTTTAGCACTAGTGAAGGATGTATAACAAACAGTAAAGCCAGGTTGGGCTTCCCATTTAGTAACCTTTATTAATCATAGAAATTTTTTATTACTACAGAGCAGAAGAAAGAAGAGATCTGTTGATGTTTTTCCGAAGCCTACACTTTTTTGTGGAATGGTGTGAATATCGTAAACGCACATTTAAGCATTTCAAGGTAATGTCTAAAGTCTTTAAATTTAAACATATATGGATCTGGCTGGGGAGCTCAGTTGGTTGTAGTGTCATCCAGATGCACCAGGGTTGCTGGTTTAGTCCCCACAGGGGCACATGTGGGAATCAACCAGTGAATACATAAATAAGTGGAACAAGTTGATGTTTCTTTCCCTCCCTCCCTCCATCTTTCTTGCTCTCTTACCCTCCTTTCCCCCTTCTCTCTCCCTAAAATGAATAAATAAAATTTTTCTAAAAGTATACAAAAAAGTGAAGCTCATGTTAATTTGGGGATTTAATATTACATTCTTTCTTTAAAGTTTTTAAACAAAAAAGGTTTTAATTGGCTTTTGGAATTTGCAATTATTTGGACTAAATAAAGGAAGAATGCTCCTGTACAAATCAGTGAATCTTATATGATGGAATATCTTGGAAGAAGTATAGTTATATTCTTATTTATTTTATAATACACATTTTGAAAAATTAATCCGTCAAGCATACTGGGAGTAAAATGACAAATACTAATAAAGAACATAATAGCAGGCTTATTAACGTTAATACAGCAGTATAATCGTTATGTTTTGAGCTAAATCAGTATTTTGAGCTTCTTAACTATCATTTCAAGTTTAAATAGCGAATCCTGATTCTTATGAAGTGATGCCTTGTAAGTCAGATATCAGTACTTTCAAAGACTTGTTTTTATTCCTTTTGTTTGTTTTCTGGCATAACTAGTTGGATAGCGTCAAATTATTCACAGCAGTGATGCACACAAAGGCTAGTTCTGAAAGAATCAACATAAATAACATCTCAAGGTTCAAGTTTGCCTAACTTGAGTCATGACTCTTGTTTTTATAACTGGTATTAACTCTCCTTCATTTTGGATTCTATTATTACTGTTATTTTTTGCATTCAGTTTGGTTGAGCTAATAAAATCTGTCAGGCATAAGGTTTTCTTTAGAATGAAACATGCCTGTTACCTGCCCTATACCTGTATCTGTACTGCAGTCCTTTGAGTAGTTCTCACAGTTACGTTGTTTACTTGTAGATGCTCTTGGTACCAGAACAATTAAATAGCTCTTCTTCAGAAATGATTGAGGAATGTGCTGGCAGTTACAGTTATGAATCACCTAATGTGGTTGTTTACTTAGACATTGAATGGGTTCTGGGAAATGTGAGGGCTATCTCATTTCCAAAGCAAGTTTGCCTCCAGGTGCTTTCAAGGCAGGTGTAGAAGTATAATTTGTGTGTTTTCCTGTAGAGTGTAGAGCATGTCTGTGAGCTGGTCTTTGCTGATGACAAGATTACTAGAATGGAAAGAAGCAGTCACATTGTTATGCAACCATCATCAATATCTAGCTCTAGAATTTTTTCATCATTCCAAACTGAAATTCTGTCCCTATTAAGTTGTAATTTGCTATTTCCTACTCCCCCCAACTTGTAGGAACCACCATTCTATCTTCTGTTTCTATGAATTGGACTACTATAGGTACCTCATTTAAGAAGAATCATCAAATTTATCCCTTTTGCTTGGCTTATTTCACATAGCGTAATGTCCTCAAGGTTCATCTATGTTGTAGCGTGTGTCATAATTTCATTCCTTAATAAGGGTGAATAATATTCCATTTTATGTATTTGTCACATTTTATGTATCCATTCCTCTGTTGATGGACCCTTGGGTTGTTTCCATCTTTTGGTTATTATGAATAATGCTTCTGTGAAGAAGGGTATTCAACATCTGTTGTATCAGTTCCAGTCCTTGCTTTCAGTTCTTTTAAGTATAATTTGTAAGTGGGGTTGCTGGATTGTATGGTAAGTCTATGTTTAATTTTTTGAAGAACTGCATTTTTTTCTATAGCAGTTGCACCATTTTACATTTCCAACAACAATGTACAAGGCTTCCAATTTCTCTATATCCGTTTTTTATTTTGGGTGGGTTTTTTCTTTCTTTTTTTTTCAGAGCCAGCCTAATGGGTGTAAAGTGGTATTCTCATTGTGGTTTTATTTGCATTTTCTTAATGATAGTGTTGTTGAGCATCTTTTCACGTGTTTATGGGCCATCTGTATGTCTTCTTTGGAGAAAGACCTTTGTGCATTGAATCAGATTGTTTGGCGTTTTTATTGTTGAGTTGTAGGAGTTTTTTGCATATTCTAGATATTGGTCCCTTTTCTAATACATAATTAGCAAATATTTTCTCCCATTCTCTGGATTGTCTTTTCATTCTCATGATAGCATCTTTTTAAAAATGAATTAATTTTCTTTTTTCACCCAAGGATATGTTCATTGATTTGAGAGATGGAGGGAGGGAGGGAGGGACTGAGGGACAGACTTTGATGTTAGAGAAATATCAATAGGTTATCTCTCATACGTGCCCCAATCATGGATCAAACCCACAACCTAGTTCTATGTGCCCTGACTGGGATTTGAACCTGCAACCCTTTTGGTGTATGGGACAATGCTCCAACCAACTGAGCCACCAACCAAAGGCCCTTGGTAGTGTCTCTTGATGCACAAAAGTTTTTAATTTTGATGAAGCCAATTTATTTTTTTTGCTGCTTGTGCTTTTGACGCCATATCCAAAAAAATCATTGCCAAATTTAATGTCATAAAGATTTTTCTCTTTTTTCCCCAAAGAATTTTATAGTTTAGCTCTTAAGCTTAGGTGTTTAATTTAATTTGTAAGTTAAGGACCAAACTTTATTCTTTTGCATGAGCATATTCAGTTTTCCAGCACTGTTTGTGGTAGAGACTGCCCTTTTCCATATTGAGTGGTCTTGTCACCTTTGTTGAAAATCATTTGACTATGTGTGCAAAGGTTTGTTTCTGGGCTCTCTATTATAGTCCATTGGTCTCTATGTCCTTATACCAGTACAATACTTTTTATGTGGCTGCTTTGTAGTGACATTTTGAAAGAAGGACATGTGAGTACTCCAGTGCTCTTCTTTTTAAGTTTGTTTTGGCTATTCATAGTTTTTTGAGATCTTATATGAATTTCAGGATGGGTGTTTTCTTCAAAAAATGTCATTGGGACTTTGAATGGAATTGCATTGAATCTGCTGGTTGCTTTGGTTAATATTGCCATATTAACTATTCCCTCTTCAGCTCATGAACATGGGATTGCTTTCTGTTTATGCATGATTTCTTTGGTTTCTTTCAGGAATGTTTGTAAGAGTAAAATACTACTTTTTAAGTCTCTATTTTATTTGTGATTTAAGGGTACATAAAAGGTTGTCAGGTTCATGACTTCTTTTTATCTAGAAGTCACAAAATTATTTTTAAATGATTATTCTATAACAGACTTTTTAGCAGTGCTTTTTCCTAATTATTTTATCTAAACCACTGGCTTTTAAATTTTCTAAAATTGGACAGTTATTTTGATTTTTTTCTCTTTAACTTTAATTATATTAAGAACATAGTAATACATTATTTTTCTGACCTTGGGAAATGTGAGAGAACTCTCCTCTGACCATTTTCCCCAGTTTCAATTCCACCATTCAGCTCTCAAGTTTATTTTTCCAGATAAAGTTACAAATTTAGTTCCATTATTTGTTCAAGATTATGATAGCTTCAAGATTCTATTTTTTTTTCAAATACAGCAGAGCCATTGTGTTTAAATGGATTTTATTTTGCTGTGTTTATTGTATATTCAATTCAAATGCGGTCACTATTGTTCTAGACACTTTGAAAGTATAAAAGGTATATGTGTTTAGTGTACTCAGTTAGCCTTCAGTGATAGAGAAATGAGGCATGCACACAAAATAATGAGAAAGCAGTATAATAGTCATGATTATCAGTTACTGAAATAAAATTAATGAATGAGTTAACAAGTGTGGATAATTATTTTGGCCTTACGAGATCACAAATTGTTTATTGAAGAAGTTATATTTGGGAGCCAACCTTTGACAAATTGGGGGAAAATTGAAAAAAAAAATGCCATCCTTGGTAGGGAAAACAAGGAAGCAAATGCTTAAATAAAGGAATAAGTATTTGTCCTGGGAATAATATGCAGAGACCAACTTGATTCTAATGTGTAATTTATGTTGGAAACAATGTTGGCAATTTTTATATACACAGTTCAAACTCACGTTTCTAAAGGATTGGTACTTTCTTATGTAATCCCAAAATCATGTGGAGACTAAGGCTTTTGAGTGAGGTATGGACAAGTGAAAAGTTCTTTTAGGAACTTTAATCTGGCAGCATTGTGTCATTATAAATCTTCACTATATGATTGAAGATGAATGCTCGCCATTAAATGTATTGGTTAATTATGGGCCTTTAGAAAATGCTGCCCAGTTTTCTTGTGAATATGTAGTCTGTTTGCATAAACATGGATGTGTATGGGTGGGTGGCAGTGTTGTGTATAACACCACAGAACTCATTTTGTTTTGTGTCTTACATTTGGGCAGATTTATCAATATGATTCTCATTCCTGTAGTGTAAAAAGAAAATATTTTACAGTATTTATCATATTTGCAAGCCTTTACAATAGAGAACATTATTGCTGTTTTCTAAGAAATGGGATGGCCTTTCGGGGTTTTTTAAAAAATATAAGCATACTGATTTTGGTCTTCTTGACTTCTTAAAATGTTTTATACTAGGTTTAGAATGTTAATATTTAGAAAAAAGAGAAGTTCATACTATTGTAAAGCCTTTAGCTGCCTGATTACAAAGCAGAATAATGTTGAACATTACTATATTAGCTCTTTATTGGAGAGTAAATTATGCTTTATTTGAAAAGTTTTGCCTAAGTGACCCTATTTCTCAGGCTAAGTAAAAAGGTAATAGCAGCCTTAACAGAAAGAAAAGAGTTTCTACTTCATTATGAATAGTGTATGAATCATAAGAGAAAAATTGGAAAGCACTGGAAATATTTAGCTTTTCAGAGGCTTTGAAATATCAACCTTAAATGCTTTAGGGATCCAGTAAAGGCCAGAAAAGACAAGAAGTTGCAAGTTTCTTGGACTTCTTTTCTCACTTCATTAGTAATAGAAATAATGCTTCTCAAATTGAGATATTTACATAAAAACAGAACCTTTTAAAAATAGCATTGTACTATAAACTACAAGGATTTTGTTGTGCTGTTTAGATATTTTCACATTAATTTGTTTTGAACTTAAAGATTTATTCTTACTTTTTACTTGTTATATGTAAGCTTTTGAACATCCTTGCTTAAAACGTAAAATTTCTTTATGCTGGGAAACAAAGCTACCATTAAACAGACATTTATGCTCCTTTAGACTTTGTTGAGACAGATTATAAGTACCTGCGGATTTTAGTTAATGTGCTGCATTGATTGGTACTGGTTAAAAGTATGACCCTACAGGTAATCTTTTTAAGCAGATAAAACTGTTTGGATGCTTTCCCAGGATGATGGGATTTCCCTCCAAGCGTATCTCTTCAACGAGGCTCCGAATATAACGGGTGTCATTAGCCTTGCAGAATGTATCATCCGTAACTGAAGTTATGTTGTTAAACTGTAAAATAAAAGGGAAAAAGTGTTCAGATATCTGAAATCAATCTGTCTATGCTGTGTAGTTGGATCTAAACATATTTTATGTAAAGAGTGATTTTTATTTTTATTTATTTATTTATTTTTTTTTTACCTAAAGTCTTAGTTCATGTCCATGGGTCGTGACTATAAGTTCTTTGGCTTCAACATTTCCTATTCTATTCTTAACCTCCCCCTGTCTATTTTCTACCTACCATCTATGCTACTTATTCTCCATACCTTTTCCACTTCTCTCCCCTTCCCACTCCACTGTTGCTAACCCTCCATGTGATCTCCATTTCTGTGGTTCTGTTCCTGTTCTAGTGGTTTGCTTAGTTTGTTTTTGTTTTAGGTATGGTTGCTAATAATTGTGAATTTGTTGTCATTTTACTGATCATATTTTTATCTTCTTTTACTTAGATAAGTCTCTTTAACATTTCATGTGATAAGGGCTTAGTGATGATGAACTTCTTTAACTTGACCTTCTCTGGGAAGCACTTTATCTGACCTTCCATTCCAAATGATAGCTTTGCTGGATAGAGTCATCTTGGATGTAGGTCCTTGCCTTTCATGACTTTGAATGCTTCTTTCCAGCCTTTTCTTGCCTGTAAGGTTTCTTTTAAGAAATCAGCTGATCGTCTAATGGGCACTCCTTTGTAGGTAACTGTCTCCTTTTCTCTTGCTGCTTTTAAGATTCTCCCTTTCTCTTTAATCTTGGGCAATGTAATTATGATGTGCCTTGGTGAGTTCCTCTTTGGGTCCAACTTCCTTGGGACTCTCTGAGCTTCCTGAACTTCCTGGAAGTCTATTTCCTTTGCCAGATTGGGGAAGTTCTCCTTCATTAGTTCAAATAAGTTTTCTCCTTCAAGTTCAAATAAGTTTTCAATTTCTTGTTCTTCTTCTTCTCCTTCTGGCACCCCTATGATTCAGATGTTGGAACGTTTAAAGATGTCCTGGAGGTTCCTAAGCCTCTCCTCACTTTTTTTGTTTCTTCATTCTTTTCTGGTTGAATGTTTATTTCTTCCTTTTGGTCCACACCATTGATTTGAGTCCCAGTGTCCTTTCCGTCATTTTTGGTTTCCTGTTCATTTTCCTTTATTTCACTTAGCATAGACTTCATTTCTTCATCTAATTTGTGACCATATTCAACCAATTGTGTGAGCATCCTGATTACCAGTGTTTTGAACTGTATATCTGATAGGTTGGCTATCTCTTCATTGCTTAGTAGTATTTTTTCTAGAGCTTTGATCTCTTCTTTCATTTTGGCCATTTTTTTTTTTGTTTCGGCGCTAAAGAGTGATTTTTAAACTATTGTACAATACATACTGTATATCCTCGTGGTAAAAAAAATCCTCTTTGTGCAGTCTGAGCCTTTCTCATTAAGATTTTTGATTTTTTTTAGAGAGAGGGAGAAAAACATGGATTGGCTGCCTTCCATACCATGCCTGGACTGGGGACCCAACCTGCAGCCCAGGCATGTACCCTGACTGGGAATTCAGCCAACTGAGCTACACTGACTGGGTCACAGCCTCTTTATTTTTAAGTCTATAGCATGCCTTTGGAAGAACAGACTACTTGCTATTACAGTAGCTGGAAAAAGTATCCTAGCCTAGTGTCAACTCAAAATCTTACTGTGTTCTTAAATATTCTTTAAAGAAGTTTAAAAAAACAAATAGGAATTTCTGTATGCTGAAAGATCAATTTTAGTTTTTTATTCCCTCCTCACTTTCCTTTACCTCAAGTTGATGTTGGACAATAAAATCAGTTGGAAAGTCTTCAAAAGGAAAAATCTACTGCTATTTGGACAAAGAAATATAAACCAGAGGTTTTAGTGTCCCCTAACTTCAAATCTGTGGGCCTGGTTAACTAGGAGATACTAACTGCACAGCTGGAGACAAACACCGCTCTGAGAACAGATCTCAGAATTAATAGTGCTGGTCCTTTCATTGTGTCCCAGCCAGAACTGGGGCTTGTGGGCAGGAGAATGCATTGGGCTCAATGCATTCGTACTTTTTGATGGGCAAAATTTACCTATGAATGTGAGTTTCCTAAATTGACTCTTAGTAATTTAAATTAAAGTCTGATAGTGTGAAAGGAGTGGTCATACCTGAAGATGAATTACACGTAGACTTTCTGGTAAATTAAGAGGCACAGATTCCAGTGCGTTGTGGTCCAAATAGAGGAAAGACAGGTTACTCAGTTTCTGTAAGGAAAAGGCACTTTTTTTTCAATGAGGTCAGTGCATTTCTTCACAGGATTCAAATTACACACACATATATGTATACATGTATGTACATATAGATACTAATGTAGAGTCATCCATACTATTTATCTTTGCTATGATAGTATTTGGGCTTTGGGGATTTTTTGTTTTTCGTTTCACAAATGGTATATTTTGGTCCTTTGGGAAGGGTAGTAGAGCCCTGCTGCATTCCCACATTTCTGTCCACTTACATGATCTCTGAATACCCAGCTATGCCTGGCATGAGCCCTTATGCCGGCACCCACGACCCTTTGAGTTTGTCTTAGGAGTGGCTAATGAGGTCCCTGTGCAGGATTGAATTTGGATCCTGGTACTGCCATAACTTTTCTTGAACCTCTAGAACCTATTTCAGTTCCAATTTGTAGCAAAATGAATACTCTAAGGGATACATATACTTTTTAAGTAAGATGTGTCTCAAAGCAATTTATTAAACACTTTTTTAGGTAAAGATTTTCCCACCTAAGGGTTAGATGTTGGATTACTCTTCATGATCAGTAGCTATTATTATATAATATTTTATAATATGATTTCAATATGTACTTTCCTCTGACATTAACCTTCTTCCTTATATTTGATGTGCATCCTGTAGCAGAATTTGCTCATATATTTTTAGGATTAACTTGCTCATATGTTAATCCTTTCTTAAACATTCACCATATGGGACCCAAACTTATATCTTCCCCAGTAGGCCTCTACTAACATGGGTTAGAGTAACTTGACTTTACCAGTGGCTTTTACAGCATAAACAAAACTGGGGAGAGTGCCTGAATTTATCATTTCCATGCCAACTTATCACAAATCCCTTCTGTAATGCATGTGTAAAATCGAAAATATTCAAACATTCCTTTTGTGAAATGTTGATCATCTCCCGTAGGTCTTTAATATGCCAGTTACTCAAAGGCTTATCAGCTTGAATTATAGATCTTCAAATTACAGGACTTTTGTTTATATATTTTTAAAGTGAGTTTAGCTTTTAAAAGTCTCCTAAGTCCCTTGAATTTTGCATAATTTTGATGTGTGTCTAGAATGTCCCTTAAATTTGAAAGAGGGTTCGTTAAATGTACACAGAAAAGAAAAATGGAATATTTTTGCATTTTCTGACATATTGTATGTTTATGGACACATTGCACATTGTGTGATGACCATAAACTTTATAATAATGAATATTTGATATTTTTAGGTTCTTATCACAGTTACAAATTTTCCTTTTGAATGGGGTTTTCTATTGCCAACAGTAGCATGCATAATTACTCATCTTTTTATGTGGGGTTCCTTCCAGGACTGGAATGAGTGTATCAGAATTATGAGTAATCCTGAGTTGAGGTGATTACTTCTTGTGCATTTAGAGACAACTTAGCTACCTACATCACAATAGATCACCTTCCCCTTTTCCTATACATATGTTTTCCTGAATTACTAAATTAAGAAATGTATTTCATTTTCACTACATAATTTTGTTTTAGGTGCCATAAATGGAATTCAAAAGAAAGACTAACTACAGAATTTTATGGTCTAATACATTTAAATATTAAAAGTAAAATTCAGTGTTTTACTTCAAGAACTTAATTTTTTTCTGGCATTGGTAACTTACTAATATTTAAAGAAAAAGACAGGAAAACTCCCATTTTGAGGTTTTGTACAGTTTTGGTGCCATGAGGGTGTGAACCATGTCTGTATAAATAAATATTTGCTGTGTAAACAATTTAAAAAGATGGGATATGAAGTAGTCCATGAAACAAGATAAAGGTTATATAATTTTGTGAGGTACAGGCATAAACTAGACAGAAGGAGCCTAACAGTATGGCTCTTACTATGTAAAGAATTCATTTATTAAATTAAAATAGTCTTAAAACATAAAACCAAATACTAGACCAGATTTTCTCTTCCCTTTATTATCATTGGTTGTATAAAACTGATAACTGTTTCAGTCATAGTATAAAATACTTACTTTGAATGTATTTGCTTTGATTCCTCTACTCTTGATTTTGTTGTATTTTGCATTAAATAAAATTAGCTTGGGAGGAAGAACTGGAAGTTTCAGTAGTTGATTTTCAGCTAGTGTAAGTTCTTCTAACAGAGAAAGTTTTGAAAAAGTACTGTCTTCTATATCTTCAATCAAATTTCCCGTAAAATCAAGTCTTCTTAAATTAGCTTAAAGGGAAAATACAGAGAAATACAGAAAATATACAGAAATAAGAAGTTAAAAATCTCATCTGTGTACATTTGATTGAATAGAATCATGTGAATTATTTTTGGATTTTTTGTTGGCTTGTTGCATTGTCATTGTGCATATGTTCTCTTAATCTTTCTAGGACTTACTACTTAACAGACAAAAAATTCGCTAAAGTGATGCAGACTAATTCAGTGTATGATTTTCTCTCTTAGAAGTTCATGTGTGTGTGTATATTGTGTGTCTGGGACAATTAGGAAATTTAGTTGCTTCTCATTATTTGAGTCACTCATGTATAAAATTGCTCTAAACATTGAATTAGTAAATATGGAACCATTACTCCTTGAGGACATGCAGGACTAGGTTCCTTCAAGCTTCTGGTTATAGTCATCAGCTAATCAGTACATACTTTTATGTGTGATTCTTTTTAAAGACATCTTATTTAGTATATATTGTTCATTAACTTTGAGCTCAACAGCCATTAGCAGTGTTACTCACACTTGAATGAAAATTACCTAACATGTATTTTCTACATAATGCACATCACAGCCTTCTTGCATTTAGGAACATTAGACAGCATTTCAGCATTCTACTTGGGGGCCATTTTAAACAACAAAAAGCATAAAAATGTGAAAGATATGGCATTAAGTAGACTGAAAAGGACTGTTGACAGTATAAAAGCAGAAAGAAAAGCTTAGAGCATTGCCTTGTTTGTCCTTGATTCGGTAACTCAATCTTTTTTTTTGCCACTGTGTATATGTCTAGAAATGACTGGGAAAGTACTGCAAATATTGATTTGGGGTTTACAAATAAGTTTTAGCAAGTAGATGAGTTTGAAAATATGGAACCTACAAACAATGAGGAACAACTGTACTTCAGCCAGTAGGGGCTTCTAGAGGCAGCATGAATCCAGTACAGTTAATCTTATAAAAGCATAGTGGGGTGATAGTACATTTCTTAGTGTGATTTTCTTCAGAAGCACTTGACAACATAGGAATTGAGAATATGAGGGATTAGTGATTCAGGACTGGGACTAGGCACTGCAAACGTGGGGGATTTACTGTGCTCTTGGAGGTACCCAAGTGGCAAGGTTTTATAAGGTTTGATAGGACAGCAGAAGTCCAAGATTTTATATGACTCAGGAGGGACACTAGTTCCAATCATACTAGAATCATCTGAGGAGCCTGTATCAGTATTTTTTTAATGTTTCCCCAGATATTTTTATTCATGCAGCCAGATTTAAGAACCGTGAGTTAAAGTAAGGAAAAACAGTCTCGGTGCTTTTATACTGAAGCTAGAAAATAAGACATTGTAATTGGAGAAACATCCTGATTATGTTGGGTCTACTGACTGGCTGAGGCAAATGGATCTTGAACTACTGGGGTTGAGAAGACATAGTTAGCCTATAAATTAAATGACTAAGACACCAAAGTGACCAGTGAAGAAAGATGACAGAGGAGATCTGGATGGAAAAGAGATTCACTAACAAATCAGTGGGTTTTTGTGCAATGTGGTAGGTACGTAAATAGGACAATAATGACTACCTTTGATGTGATAGGCCACAAGTATCTAGAATCTTGTGTTTATATGAGTTAAATACTAACGTGTGTTAATACTAATATCTTATTTAAAAGTAACTTACGGATTTCCGCAAAGTCTTTGGCAGTCAGCTTTTTAATTTTGTTGAATCGCGCATAAAGATAGGCTGATTCCTTTGGCAAGGGTGGTACAACATCAATGTCAACTTCTTCACAGTATACGGAGCCACTTAAACAAACACACAACAGGCACGTGGGCATTTCTAATTGGGGAAAAAAAATCACAAAAGTATAAACAGTTTAAAAATATTTGGCCCCTTCTAGTGAAATTATTGCTATTATGAATTTAATTACTGATTAGAAAAGATTTTACAGAATTATAGGTGATAAGAAAGATACTATGGTTATGATAGCTAGAGACCTGTACTGTAAGTGATAATTCATATTTTTGATTCTGTGATTCAGTCTCTTTTATTCTCTGCTTTATTATTGATCCTTTAATTGTTGCATTGATCAACAATTGTATTTCCTCATTTGAATACCAGACAATTTGAAAAGCAGGACTTAAGGTAAACATGAGCTTGACTTATTACTTGGTGTGGCACAAACACATTTCATATTGGTGACAGCTAAGGAGTTTAGAAACTACTAATTAGATAAGCAAACTATTAATTTGAAAGTTAGAGTCATTGTAAGCACTGTAGGGATTCCATTCACTCTACCATCATTATTGCATTACTTGTCATGCCTCTTTCGTCTCTTTTTACTTCGAACAGCTTATTAGTCTTTATTTTTCATACCTTTTACTTTTTGGAAAATTTTTAATGTTTTTAAAAATTATTTTAGGGCATATATTTTACAGAATGTCTTTTAATTAGGGTTTGTAGAGGGTCCCCATTTTTGTCAGGAATACCAGGGAAATGATACAGGATCCTCATTGCCATGAATCAAGGAGCATGTGGTATTTCTTTGACCCATTCCTGACAATACTGTCTTTGGTCACTTGGTTCATTTGGTGTCCACCATTTTTCTCACTCTATAAAGTAAATATTTTTCACTTTGTAATTAATATCTTTCAGAGGAGTACTTTGATGTTATTAAACATCCTCCCAGGGGTTTTTTCATCCATTGATTCTTACATAAATTGTTTATCACTAGGATAGTTGTCAAATAATGATTTTCTAATTCCATCATTCTTTCTACACTTGTTAGTTGGCATTCTGGTGTAAGGTGGAACATTCTCTTCTAATTAATTAATTAGTTACTTAATTTTATTATGAACTTATGAATTCCTTATCCTGGAGATCATAACACATTACCATCACATTTGTTTTTATAATCAAATTGTGATAGATTAGCCAGTAAGGGCTCTTTTAAGCTCTTAATCCTACCACAGCTTTTTTGTGGTTATATGACATACAAGAAATTGCAACCTGTTTGTTTAATTTATTTTTTTGACATAAGTATATACCCATGAAATCATTACCACAATCAAGATAATTAACATATCCATCACCCCCAAAACTTTCTCAGGCCATTTCGTAATCTCTTCCTTCCAATCTTATATCAAGAGAATAATTTTTTATATATTCTTGTCTGGCTTCTTTCACTCTGTATAGTTACTGTGAGAGTCATCTGTTGTTGCTTGTATCAGTAGTACATTCTCTTTTGTTACTGAGTAGTATTCCTGGTCAGTATACACAATTTATAATCATCTCTTCAGGACATTTCAGTTGTTTCCAGTTTTGGGCTATTTTAAAGAAAGTGGCTAAAAACAATTACGTACAAGTTGTGTGGACTTAATGTATTAGTTTTCTTGGTTAAGTACCTAAGAATAGAATGCCTTGGTAGGTGAGGTGTATGTTTACTTTTTGAAGAAAGTCCCAAACTATTTTCCAAAGTGGTTTTGCCATTTTACATTCCTGTCAGCATTGCATGAGAGTTTGTTCCATTGCTGTACATCCTCACCAACATTTTGGTATGGTTGGACTTTTTATTTTAGCCATTTAGGAAAGGAATGTGGTGGTATCTCATGTTTTAATTAGCGTTTCTCTAACGACTAATGATGCTGAGCATCTATGTTTTGTTTATTTTTTTTTTATAGTTTCCTAACCAAGCATCTGTTTATATACTATTTGTCATCTATGTATTTTCTTTGATGAAGTGTCTGTTCATTTCTTTGGCTATTTTTTAAATGATTTATTTTTCTATTATTATTATTATTATTATTATTATTATTATTGAATTATAAGAGTATGTATTATGGATATGTCATTTATCAGATTTATGTTTTGTAAGTTTTTTCCTCCAATCTGTGGCTTGTCTTCTTATTTGTATCAATGTCTTTTGAAGAGCAACCATTTTTAATTTTCTGAAGAACAGTAGATTCCTCTGTAATTCATATATGTGTTGTATTTAATAAATCTTTGCCAAACATTAAGTTTTTATCCTTTTTTTTTTTGAAAGGTTGTATAGTTTAGACTCTATATTGAGGTATAGGGTTAATTTTGAGTTAATTTTTATGTGTGGTGTAAGGAAAGGCTAAAGTTTTCTTTTTTTCTTTTTCTAAAAGTATCTGGCTGTTTCAGCACCAGTTTTTTGATAAGATCATCTTTTCTCCTCTGAATTGTATTGGCACCATTGTACACAATCAGTTTACCATATTGTTTGTGTATTTCTAGACTCTGTTCCATTGGTCTGTTTATTTATTTTTATGCTAATACCACAGTATCTTAATTCCTAAAGCTTTATATTAGTGTTGATATTAGGTTGTATAAGTCCTCCAACTTTATTCTTCTTCAGTGTTGTAATGACTGCTCTAGGTTCTTTGCATTCCCACATAAATTTTAGAATACCTGTTAATATTTTTAAAAGAAAGCCTAAAAAAAAAAGCCCAAAAAAGAAAGCCCATTGGGATTTTAATTGTAATTACATTGAATCTACAGGTAAATTTGAGAAAAATTGCTGTCTTAACAATACTGAGTTTCCTGGTCATTGAACATAATATATCTACCCATATGTTTAGTCATTAAATTTCTTTCAGCATTTTTGTCTAGACTATACTGAACAGGTCTTATATATCTTTAATAAATTTATACCTATGTATTTTTTATATTTTGAAAAATTATTAAAATGTTAAAAGTCGCCATTATTCTTTGGGAACTTCCTGATTTTCTGGCTTGGTAAGATGTCCCAGACCAATCTTTCCTTTACCCTGCCCCAAGCCTGAAATCAGCTATTTCTTCAGAGGACTGGTTACTTTTAACAGAGAATGGCACTTAGAAACCAGGATTTGGATATAGATATTCTCCTTGCTACCAGAATCTCACTGCTTTTAGGCTTTTCCAGTAGAGAAAGCTAGGAAATATATTCACGTATATTTGTCTCTGTTCCCACATGTAATAATATACATACATACACACATGTGTATGTATACTCTCTCTATATGCATATACACATACACACATATATACGAAGTCTGTCCAGAAAGTATCAGTCATGTAATATGAAACATAGAGACATTTATTGAAGAAGATACAAGATAAAAGAAACATTGTGCATAGGACAATGATGCCTCAGTCCCCTTCAAAGTAGGCACCTTGAGACCTCACATAGTTCTCCTAGTGTCTCTTCCACTGTTCAAAACACTCTGCAGAATCCTTTGTTGTTAATTGCCATCAGCTGCCTTGTCATATTTTCCTGAATCTCATCAATGGTCTGAAATCTCTTTCCTTTTGAAAATGATTTTAGTTTTAGGAAAAGACTGAAGTTGCAGGGTGCAAATTCTGGGCTATAGGGGGTCTGAGTCACCTGGGTGGTTTGATGTTTTGCTGAAAAACTCTGTGTGAAACGTGATGCATGAGCAGGCACATTGTGTGTGATGAAGCTGCCAATCACCAGTTTCCCATAGGCGTGGCCATTTTCATTGTACTCCATCACTCAACCAAAGAAGAACATTGGGGTAGTACTCCTTATTAATTGTGTGGCCTGGAGGGGTATGCTTGTGATGGACAATACCTTCCCAATCAAAAAACACAGTTAACATGGTCTTGATCTTGCTGTGACTTTGCCGTGCCTTCTGTGGGCATGGAGAACCAGGAGACTTCAATTGGGATGACTGGGCCTTTGTTTGCCAGTAATAGCTGTAGACCCACCACTCATCTCTAGTTATGACATTCTTGAGGTAATCTGGTTCATTGATAGCAGTTTGAATCAAGTCGTTAGCAACTGCAGCACGATGTTCCTTCTGCTCTGGCAGCAAAAGCCGAAGCCATTTTGCCAAAACACGTTTCATGCCAAGATCCTGCATCATAAATGTTGGACCCACTAGTTTTTAGAATCCCCAGATCATTTTTAAGTTCTTGCACTGTCACCAATCTTGGGTGATTGTAGCCCGTATATATTCAATATTATCAGGTGTTCTGTTTGTTGCAGGCCTTCCAGAATGTGGATCATTTTCAACAGCTTCTCAACCATCTTTGAAACATTTGTGCCACACTTTTATTTGCACTGCACTCACTGCATTGTCCCCGAAAGCCTTCTGAATCATCCAAGTAGTTTGTGTGGAGTACTATTAAGCTTAATGTAAAATTGAAGATTCATTGCTCTACTTGCTCAGTCATTTTGAATGCAATGGCCACACAGTACAGATGCTCACTCAATGGTTTCTACCGCCTCCACTGACTAGTAGAGTGTAGTCATCATTGGTCACTCATGCACTTTCCAGTTTATTCTCCTTGGCTTCCAGGTTACATCAGTGTCATGCAAACCATTTTCATTATATTAACAATGGCTGGACTTTTTCCAGACAGACCTTTAATATACACACACACACATATGCACACACACACCATATACACATAAAAACAACATATGCATATATATACGACATATACATGCTCTCACAGAGAGACAAACACATCTATATCTGTTTCTGTATCTCTGTATGCAAGCCATAAATTGATGCTAATATCTTCCATTCCAGTTTAGCTCCACAGTGTTCATTCTAACCTTCCCCCTTTTCATAATTGTAGCACCCTCTCTGACAGAAACCTAGCTCTCATTTTCCACAGTGTGTTTACTTCACATTATTCAGTCCTAGGACAGGCATTAAGTAGTTTCCTTATTGCTACAAATCCATTCACTGGAATTTTAGTGTTTATTTACTGTTTTTATTTTAGCCCAAAGGTATACTGTCAAAATACTGAATTTAAGGTTGACTTGGATTAGATTTTCTCCCATTTGGCCTGTAGGTTACTAGTCT